GTGTGTGTGTGTGTGTGTGTGTGTGTGTGTGTGTGTGTGTTCACCTGCTTGGGGGCTTTGACTGGTGCTGTTTCTCTTGTTTATTATTAAACTTCCCTACTTCCAAGGAGATGAAAGTCCGCTTACGTAAGTGTGCCTGGACAAAGGTAGCCTGTGTTCTGGCTCAAGCTGCCTGCCCCTCGCCCACCCACAGGTCCCTGTCACTCACAGGCCCCTGTCACTCACAGGGGGTTCAGGGGCACCATCAGGACCTTGTGTTCCATTTGTCAGCAAAAAAACAGCACTGCATAAATAGTCTCCTTAATGTCATATGAAATGATTTCTAGAACTAAAAGGAGCATATAAACCCAATTATTCTCTGCCCCTCGGGGCACCGCGCCAGGCACACACATGGCATGCTGCAGGGATGTCTCGGCAGTGGCCTACAGAAGACACAAAGTTGCATCACTTATTCCCAGAAAGATGTGTCCCCCACTTTAACTGCTCTGTTTGAAGCTGTCATTTCTCAATAAAGAAGTGACTCACACTTCACAGCCATATGGGAGGAATTATCCACAAGTTAAAGTACCAAAGAATCTCTCAGGGCCTGGCAGGGCCCTCCCTGGCCTAAGCGAGACGAGGAAATGATCTCCGCCTCATTTCCCCCAGCTTGATATCACCAACACTGGAGGCGTGGGTGCATGTAGAAGCCCTGGTGGTGTCGTGGTTACACATTGTTGGGCTGCAATCCCCCTGGCTGACAGTTCAAAACAACCAACAGCTTTTCAGGAGAAAGACTGGGCTTTCTACTCCCGTAAACAGTTAGTCTCGGAAACCCACAGGGTCTCACTGTGAGTCAGCATTGACTGGATGACAGAGAGTTTGGGTTGTTTGTTTGTTTGTTTGTTTGTTTATTCAAATGTCTGGACTCTGTGGCATTTGAATCACTTAACTAATGTCCATTCCAAAGAACTTGTCTTGGAACAAAGACTCCCTCTTCTGCTCTGGACATATTCTTTCTCATTTGAAGACCTTCTCATGAAGGATACACTGTCCCTCCATGAACCTCATCCCCCACCTCTCACCCCATCCCAACACGCACGCACGCACACTCCAGCCGTGGAAGCCAACCTCCCCCGCATCTCTCACCGGATCCAGCATGAAGCAGTTGACCCCACACTCCATGGCCAGCACTAGCATGGTGGCACTTCCGTAAAGAGCATAACCAGCTGCCACTAGATTCCGACCCGGCTGCAGAGCATCCTTCTCAGATGGCTCCCCTGTTGAAGTCTAGAGAAAGCAAGAAAAGACGTTTGGGTATTGTGTTATGGGCACCTTTTCTCCTGTTAATCTTTTAACAGGGCCTATTACCAAAGGCCTCCTCTAACGAAGTGAGTGGGCCCTTGGGTGTCACAAGGGCTAAACACTTGACTACTCCCCGAAAGGTTGGTTGTTCAAACCTACCCAGAGGTGCCTTGGAAGAAAGACCAGGTGATCTGCTTCTGAACAGTCAGCCATACAAGCACTATGAAGTACAGTTCTGTTCTAAAACCGATGGGGCACCCGTAGTCAGAAATGACTTAAGGACAATTAGGTCTGGACTTCTAATGTAATAAGGTACCTTCCCAGAGGGGCCTCACTGTACACAGCAATAATATCCTGATTATATTACCAGAGCAGCCTTCCCACCAGACCCCAAATTTCCTGCATCTGGATCCTTCTTTCCAATCTGGGTTCTCCTCTAATTTTACTAATTTGATATTCCCTTAGTTCTCCATTATCACTTCCAAAAAAGAACAGGCCTTCTGGCCAGCTCCCAGTAATTTCATATTATTATAAGCAATCAATGACTTTCACCTGCCTGCTCCATCATTCGGAAAGCAAATTAGCCCAGGGCTGCAGGGCAGCTCGTCTGCTGAAGAGATCGATTTCCTGAGCTCTTGCGAATTGTGGTACACCCACCCACCCACCACACACACACACACACACACACACACACACACACACACACTTAGAAGTGTGGTCCACATGACTCACACACCGAAGATATTCTATTCTCAGAAATTTGGGAGCATACAATTTCAGCAGAGTCAATAAAAGGGAGGGCAGTTACTTTCATATTCTTCAATCATGACCCACAATAAGAAATAGTGTTTATATGGCAAACCAATAACAATATAGACACATGTGTGCACACACAATGACAAAAAAATGTAATGAACCGATATTTACACACAGAACCTGTGATCGTTAGATTTTATATCAGCTTGGATGGGCCAGGATTCCCCGGAGATGTGATCTAACACATGTGGTCAACTCTATAATGAGATTTGTGAAGCAGCCAAGCCATTGTGTGATCACTAGAGTTGAGGACCACCTCCTTAATCGGGGCACAGCCTTGATACAATGGAGGGAGGTTTCATTTAAGGTGTGGCCTCCTCTTAGTAAAGGCTGACAGTGTGTGGAAGAGCGCATGCTTCTGCTGGATCTGAATCCTGCATCTGCTGCATTGACCTCTTTTGATCACCTGCCCACGACCACAAAAGCCTCAACTATCACAAATCTAAGGTCCATTTGGCTTGATCATACTCATCATTTCCGACTTTGAAGACAGTTTTCTCTTGGAGCCTGTGAGTTGCACTAGCATTTATAATTGAAGTGGCTGTTGTAAATTGATTTCACTATTATATATTTATTTTTTTAATTGATAACCAGTGTCTTTCTATATTCTAGGAGTTTTTTCACTGAGCATTTTTATTTTAGAGAGTGAGGTAGGAAATGGAGCTGGTAAACTTTGTAGTTGCTGGTGAGTCCCTTTGAGTTGATTCTGACTAGGTCAGTCTTTACAGGAGAAAATCACCAAGTCACTTGAACCCACCCAATCTTTCAGTTAGTGGCTGAGTGCTTAATTATTGGTGCCACCAGGCATCCTTTGGCAAACTTTAGACTCAAATCTAATGCTGCCATTGAGTTGATTCCAACTCTTAGAACCCTAAAGGGCAGGGTTGAACGCCACTATGGATTTCTGAAGCTATAAATCTTTTTAGCACTAGGTCTCACTTTTCCCCCACAGAGTAGCTGGTGGTTTCAAACTGTTGAGATGTCTTTCTACTTCTGTAAAGAGTACCGTCTTGGCACCCACAAGGGTAATTCTACCCTGTCCTATAGGGCTGCTGAGTTGAAATAGAGTCGACGGCCATGGGTTGGGTTTGAGGGGCACAGTGGGTAAAACCCTTGGCTGCGAATGGAAAGGTTCAAACCCACCAGCCACTCCAGGAGGGAAAGACGTGGCAGTCCATTTTCGTGAAGATTCACAGCCTTGGACACCTTACTTGTGCTCTTAGGGGTGCAAGTCCACCCAGAAGGTGCCTGCCAGCTGCTTCTCTGAAATCCCTGAGGCACACAGCTCTCCTCTGACACACACAGGATTGCCGTGAGTCAGAATCAACTTAACAACAACTGTTTTTGTTGAGTTTTTTTTTAACTACTCAAATTGATCTTGGTGTACTAGGCTTCTCAGCCAAGACTCAAAAAGCAGAATGCATCCCAATGAACCACTGTGTCCTGTTTGCGATCTGTTTAAAAGGAGAGTGTCTACAACACTAAAAAATGAGAGTCTTTCTAAAGGAAAGTGCCTATTTAGATTTCATTCGGGAAGCCGTTGGATAACAGAATAGGGGAACTTGGAAAGACCGGGGTTTCAGGTCAGCCGAGAAACCTGGCTGTGTATCTGGGATGGTTTCTTTCTAAATTAAACAAGAGTCAAAGTCAAGATGACAGGTTTTAGATTTATGAAGTTCATGATGGGCCCACAGGTAGTCATTTTATTTTTCACTTGTCTACTTGTTTAGGAGCCCTGGTAGTATCGTGGTTATGAGTTACAGTCTAAGAAACTCACATGGCCAGTTGTACCCTGTCCTATAGGCTCACTCACTATGAGTCAGCATCGACTTGATGGCAGTGAGTTTGGGTTTTCTGGTTATATACTTGCTTAGGAGCCCTAGGGGAGCCTAAGTGGCACTGTCAGGTAAAGTCCATGGTTCAAACCCACCTGCCATTCCTTGTGAATAAGATGAGGCTATCTATACCCATAAGGATTTACAGGCTCATAAACTCTAAGGAGCAGTTCTATTTTGAGCTATGAGTTGGCAGTAGGTTGGATTGAGTTTTTATATTCTTTCTTGTATAGCATTAACATTCATGTGCTTTTCTCCCCTCTGTAATACATATGCTCACACACCCACACATACATACTTAAAGAAAAGAAGGAATGAGAGACTCTGGAGGTAGGCTGACTTGCTGAGATCTCCAAAGGAGAAGGCTCAGGATAGAGGTCTGGGTTCCCATCCTGCACTATTACGCTTTCCATGATTTAGTGCAAGGCTCAGCAAACCTTTTCCGTAAAGAGAAAGCCAGTCAATAAATATCCTAAGTTTTATAGGTTACCTAGTCTGTATGACAACTACTTGTTCTACCTTTGTAGCATGAAATGAGCCAAAGGCAATGTAACAAATAAGCATGGTCGTGTGCCAATAAAACTTTATTTATGAACATTAAATTTCATACAATACTATCTGACAGCAGGCTAGATTTAGTGCCCAAGCCATTATTTATCCACCCTCAACTTAGAGGATTTAACGAACAATTTTTAAATGAACAATCTCAACTTTTGTCACACTTCCACAAACATCTATTCACATTGTATCATTTCAACCACTATCCTATTCTCTCCTCACATTAATGCATGCCTATAAATAATTTCCATCATAAATGAAAGAAAAATGTAGGCAAACATGAAACGGTATCTTCCTCCCACCACATTTTATGACTGCATTTTCTATTAACAGCTAAATGGGTCTTCATTATGTAATTAATAACACTGAAATGTCAGACCTTGAGATCTATTTCAAGCCTCCCAGCATTTCATGACCATACATTGCAGCTGCTCCACAATACCGAAAAGACAGCATGCCCCAGCTTAGCTGTCTCTGTAATCATTGATCACATCTCACCTTTCTGTAGATGGCAAAAATGCTGCCAATGGACACAAGACAATCAATGTTGGAAGAACCATCCAGGGGATCAAAACAGACCACGTATTTACCCTGGAGGAGCAAAGGAAAAAGAATTGTGACTTTATTGTACACAATAAAACACAAAGTAACCAGGTTCACCAAGGGGGAACAGTAGGAATCTAGGAGAAAGCTCAAGAAGTGTGACCAAGATCAATTGGCATAATATAGTGGACGCAGACAATGTTCTGTGTCCTACTTTGGTGAGTCATCGACTTAAAGCCATATGAGCAGTCATTACTGGTGGCAACTCCTGGTACCTCTGCATCCAGAAGAAAGAAGAGGATGCAGATCAATAAATATATAGAAACAATTAGTTCAAAGGACTAATGAACCACACCAACATCAGTCTCCACAACCCAAAAGAACTAGATAGTAAGCAGCTACCATTACAAACTGCCCTGAAAAAGCTCACATGAGAAGATCCTGGATCACATGCCAAAATAATGTAGAGCAGAACTAAAGGGTACTAGGCTCACTGATGGGGCAGAGACTGGTCGGACCCCCAAGACTACAAGGCCCTTAAACCCTACTGGTCTTGAACTAAACTCACCCATATTACAATAATCAGACATTTAAGATTAAAAGAGCAACATTTACTCAAGGGCAACCCTCCGAGGGTTAGGAAAGAAGGAGAAATGGAAGCAGGAGGCACAGGGAGGTAGTAGGATAAGTACATTAAGGGAATTGTAATGGACACACTTGAAACAAAACGTATATGCATTGTTAAATGTAAAACTGATGATGTTCTCTGTAAACCTTCATCTAATTCACCATAAAACATATTTAAAAGAATAAATGTGGGCCTTCTTTATTTATGCTGCCATGGAAGATATGAGGTCAGATACAGGGATGTAGATAAGAAGGGAAATAGATAGGGAAGGAGATGTTAGATAGATAGATAGATAGATAGATAGATAGATAGATAGATAGATAGATAGATAGATAGATAGACAGACAGACAGACAGACAGACAGATAGATAGATAGATAGATAGATAGATAGATAGATAGATAGTGAGTCCCCCTGGGTGAATGAAGATGAAGCAAACAAAGGATTAGCAGAAGGAAAGCTTTGGAAAAGCTTGAGCATGACAATAGACATGAACAGATGAACCCAGGGTGAGCTTGTTGAGCTAAGCCTGATGCTGATGTGAGCAATGGAGAGGACAGGGCAGATTTGAGATTTGATAGTTCAGTAGAACTGGTAGAATAATAATGGATGGGAATCAAGAGAGATCTACAGTGATTCCTAAGAATCTAGCCTCATGAAGTCGTGGAGTCATTTATGAAGTCAGAAAGAGAAAGGGTAACATTAAAGTCATTAACAGTTGAGGTATAAACCCACCCTTTTCTCCGGTTCTATTATGATGGCATTTTTGTCTTCTTCCGACACAAGAACACAAGTGGCAAAAGAGGCCTTCAGCATGTTAACAACCAGGTCATTGGAGAGGACATCGAGTTTCTTAACTTGATCACCCGTCACATTGGTAGAGCCGGCAATTCCATAGCTAGAGGGAAGGAAACCACACACACACACACAAAAATCAGCCGTGATCACTAGATGATGTAAGGAAATCACTCCCCTCTCAATGAATGAGTCAAATAAACCAGTTAAGAGACACAACATACAAGGACATTTTCTGGATTGGTGTGACCAACGATGTAAGCTAAATCCAGTGTGTGTGGTTTAACAAGTGTAACAATTCTAGCCCTTGATCACTCCCTCCTCCTCCTCTAATGTGGGAGAAACTCAGTTACAGAGGCCCCAAAGGAAATGTCTGAGCTCACTCTAACTACCAGGCCAGCGTTCTCGTTGTGGTTGCCCCTGCCTTGGGCAAGAGTTCTCAAGGATGAAGGGGTGGTTCATGGTGGCTTTTACCAATTTTTAATGCACCTCCAAAAAACCACACTCACTATCATTGAGTTAATTGCAAATCATAGCTACCCTATAGAAAAGGGTAGAACTGCCCCTGTGAGTTTCCAAGACTATAACTTTTTTTAAAACAAAAATATCAAAATTATGTGAAGCCTTTATTTCTCAATGTTGCCATCTGGGTCCTTACACTCTCTTTCTAAAAAAAAATTATTAGGAGCTCTTACATATACAATTACAATCCATAGTTTCATTAGATCAAGCAGAGTTGTACAATTGCTGCCATCAGCATTTTCAATACAGTTTCATGAACTCGTTAGCTGTAACTCTTGATGGGAGCAGAAAGCCTCGCTTTCCTCCCAAAGAGCAGCCGCTGGTTTCGGACTGCTGACATTAGGGCTTTTCAACACACCTATGCACCTGCAAGTCACTAATTGTCTAGACCAAAATACAGCCTGCTTTGTTAGAATGAGGGTTTTGTTTGTTTGTTTGTTAATGGGATTAACTACACATAGAAATAAGAAACGAAATAACTAAATAAAAATTAACTACAGCGCTCCGCCCAGTTTCTCTCTGCGCCTCTGTGGTTACCCCCTGGGAGGCAGCAGCTCACCCTCCAGCCGTCTCCCTCACCAGCATCTTTTTTTTACCATACTACTCCTTTTACACGAGGAAAACACCAAAGGATCTATCAGGAGAATTGAGCAGGGCCATGTCAGAAGAACAAAGGTTGGGGTTAGACTTAAGTGTGAGCCCCAAATCCATTCATATATCTATGGTTTATATTTGTCTTTGGTTCACATTAGAGACATCATTATCATTGTATGATAGAGAACATTATAAATCATCCCCCTGAGGTCTAGAACATGCTTTTAAAGTGGCTGGTGAGTTATGCGTTGGGCTGCTAACTGCAAGGTCAGCAGTTTCAAAACACCAGTGACCTTGAAGAAAGATGAGACTTTCTGCTCTGGAAAAGATTTTGCCTCAGAAACCCACAGGAGAAGCTCTACCATGTCCTGTCCGGTCACTATGAGTTGGCGGTGAGTTTGAGTTTTCTTCGCTTTGATTCCACAGTACCCAAGATATTGGGTTGCTGTCGGTCCCAGTCAAAGTTAAGATCTTTATTAGACCAAGAAGGAGAATGATAATGGTGACACATACTGATAGACTGACTTACATTTGCAGAGGTCTCGTGTTAGGTTGGATCTTGATTTAAATTTGTAAAGAAATATAATGACTAGATCTAACCTATTGGGTACTATTAGTTAAAAGGGATATTTTTGCTTTTGTGTTTGATAGAAAACAAAAGACTGCTTAAAGTGAGTACCTCTTCTTGTTCCTGGTCAACATATCATCATTTATTAGGCCCTGAGTGCTGCAGACAATTAACATTCCTACCTGCTAACCAAAGTCCACCCAGAGGGGCCTCAGTAGAAAAGCCTGCTGATCTATATCTCAAAAATCAGCCACTAAAAATCGTTTGAAGCACAGATCTACTCTAATGACACACATGGAGTCACTATGGCTTGGGATTGACTTGACAGCAAGTCAATGTTGCTATCAATGGTGGTTGATGTAAGCGAAGCTTCTGGAAATAAAGTCACGGCATCTGGAAAGGACGAACCCTGTTCTGGAGTCTCAGGCTGGGAACTGACAATCTAAAACTGGCTCAGGTGGTCTTAGAAAGAGGAGAGTGGACAGTGGCTCCGGGATCAGAACCTGCAACTGCAGATTCTGGGGCCCCAGGAAGGCTTCCATGATGTGCAGTGTTTTTAGGAACAAGCTCCCTATAGTCTGTGCTCCGCATCCCTGTCAGACAGGACCAGGAATGCACATGGTACGGAGGCATCATCTCCCTGGGACACTGGCCTTGAGGCTTAGGGAGGTCCCCTTCCTTTCTGGGAGGAGCCATCACACTTGACTGACTTCCATGGAAACACTAAGACTCCAGTAAAAGAGGACTTAGCCCAACCTGTTTTGCTCTAGGTGCTATGAATGGGAAAATCTCTGGTTCCTGCAGACACCCTGACTGGGCCATCCTGAGGTCAACAAATACCGCAAGCTGATCTGTACTAGATTCTACCAAGCAGCCAGATTGTGTCTTGCGCTGCTTGATGTGAAAGGCCAGAGCACACAGCCACCTTGCACGTGTTCTTCATACTACTGCTGTGAGCTGGGAGTTGATTTCAGTGCACAGAGAGCCTGTAGAACAGCTGAGGCTGTAAATCTTGATGGGAGCAGAAAGCCTCATCCTTCTCCAAGGAGAGTCCTAACTGTTGACTTTAGATCGAGCAGCCCAACTCATAATCCACTCTAGCAGCAGGGCTCTCAGCTGTCCTCACGCTCACGTATATCTAGTCAATTCTTGTTTTTTATTGTTTTATTAGGGGCTCATACAACTCTCATCACAATCCATACATCCATCCACGTAAAGCACATTTGTACATTCATTGCCCTCATTCTGTTGTCCATCCCCCAGGGAGGAGGTCACATATAGATCCTTGTAATTGGTTCCCCCTTTCCAACGCACTCTCCCTCTGCCCTCCCAGTGTCACCACTCACACCACTGGTCCTGACGGGATCATCTACCCTGGATTCCCTGTGTTTCCAGTTCCTATTTGGACCAGTGTATACCCTCTGGTCTAGCCAGACTTGCAAGGTAGAATTCGGATCATGATAGTGGGGGGTCGGGGGTGAGGAGGAAGCATTTAGAAACTAGTGGAAAGTTGTATTTTTCATCGTCGCTACATTGCGCCATCAAGTCAATTCTGACTCATAGAGCAGGGTGAGACGGCCCCTGCGGGTTTCCAAGACTGTAACTCTTTACAGGAGTAGAAAGCTCATCTTTCTCCTGGGGAGCTGCTGGTAGTTTTGAACTGCTGACCTTTTGGTTAGCAGCCCAACCAGTAACCACTACACCAGAGCTCCCTGCACTACCCTAAAGAGGGCTAAAATGACCATTATTGTAGTCACAGAAAGAGCTTTTGAACAAAGATCTATCAATTCTTGAGCCTGAAAAGCGAGTGCCTTTTTTTTTTCATATATCATTAGCACCTAGAACAATGCCCCCACATAGTAAGTGTTCAATAAACAATGAACGAATGAATATAAAGAGTTATAGAGAAATTTGAAAGTTCCCAAGATTCCCAAATTCCACCAGGCCCAATGGTATCGTCTATGCCTCTCCATTACAATCTTCCCCAGGCAAAAGCATCCCTAGCAAAGCCCAGATTAGTATACCCTCTGATCTCGTGGTGTCGTGGTAAGTGACACCATCCTTCCCTCTAGCCAGATCCCAGGTGACTACAAGGTTCATGGCCACGACCAAAGGCTGGGACGCTAGACCAAACTAAACTCACTGCCATCAGGTCAATTCTAACTCATGGTAGTGACCCTCTAGGACAGAATAGAACTGCCCCCAGGGGTTTCTGAGACTGTAACTCTTTATGAGAACAGAAAGTCTGCTTCACTTCCTCAGAGTGGGTGGGTGGTTTCCAATGCTGGACCTTGCAGTGAACAGTCCCATCGTGCAACCCACTAGGCTACCGGGGCTCTAAACGCGACCACTGGAGTTCAAATCGCAGTTCTGCCACTAACATTGAGTCTTGGCTTTGCATCTTTTAAATGGGGCTGTATCTATTTTGCTGTGCTTAGAAGATGAGTAAATGGGTTGATACAAGAGGAGTGCTTCGAATACATGTAGGTCAGTGCTCAACAATTGCCAGTTATTCTTCCATTCCCATCCCAGCCCTGCCAACGCAACTACAACCAGATGAAGAAACCAGGTGAGGTCCTGGTAAGAACAAGCACCAGAAAGACCTCAAGTCTTCTAAGCCACCATGTGACACCCATCAGGTAGTATGACCCCCAACAGTCCCCGCTTTACACCCCCATAAGTGGTAGTCATTCTTCTTTTCCATAGAGGCTCACGGAAGTCCACTGAATATGTCATGGCTAGTGGGCAGGGAAAGGCGCCCTGGTCACATAGTGAGTGACAGCTGCTCTTCTGGAGACAAATGAGGCTTTCTACTCCTTGAAATGTTCCAGGCAAATCATTACAGTCTCAGACAACTACAGCGGCTGTTCTGCCCTGTCCTCAGGAGCCTAAATGTGTCAGAATTGACTCTACAGAAGTGAGTTTTGTTTCTATAGTTTAGTGGGCAGGGAGGAACCTCTAAACCTGTTTTCCAGGCAACTTCTGGGCACACAGCCAGTGCAGAATTGTCAACGGTAAGTGGGAGGAAAGCACTCAGCATTTACCCCATGAGCTGAATCTCACTGGCAATATGATTTCCTTTTAATTTCTTAGGACATTCCACTCCAATGTTATTTAAATTACTTGGCCCTGCAGCCCAAGAGGGTTTAAGGTAGGGATAGCGCCCCACTGGGGCTTACGTCCCTGTGGCCTTTCCTTGTGAAACCTGCTGAGTCACAAAGAATTGCCTTCTGGGACTTGGGGAGCAAAAATGAATTTGAGAAGTTGTCAATAATGGTTCTCCTTTTATTGGAAACCTTACTGAAATTGGAAAAAGTCTTACAATTTATTTAACTCATGTGCTAGGGAACCCATCAACAGGGCAGGGTTTAAACTCGTTATGGACACTAGTTTAAACCCCCTGAAGATTTAAATTAAAG